GGAGAGTCAGCTGTGAGGATTTTAGCTCAATGGAGATGGTTATGTTTGTTAATAACATCCATGATATTTTCACACAACGGTTACTTTAAATAAAACTCCTGTTTATGAGATTTAGAAAGTTCAATATAAAACTTTTGGCACCAGTTTCTAATATAATTATAATTTAGGCTTTTTAACTTTTTTGGTCCTTTAATTTAAACCACCATCATGTGGAAGAGTGCTGCTTTCACTTCTACGGTTAGTTGTAAAAAACACTTTGTCACATTTATGATTACAGATGATTGACTTACTTTTGATTATTATACAGTAGAAAAACGTGACATTATTAACTAAACTGATCTTTAAAGCATCAATAAATTACTTATTAATTATTAATAAAGCCGTTAGTTACATCTAAATAAAAGGTTCCTTATTAGAAAGTGGTACCAGCATTCTAGTTAATCTGAAACAATCTTTTTATTGATCAGCTGTGAACTGAAATGTATAATATATATATATATATATAATTATATATACATATAATTATATATATATAATATCAGTAACGTTCATGCACACACCGACATTCATGCAACAAAAACATCAAGTTCAGTAAAGTCAAACTGCAGAAACACCGTCCAGATCCAGCTCATTATGGAATAATCAGAATAACAATAGTACATAACTAATAATATTACTACTTTTTGGGAAGATATACGTCCTGCTGAACAAAACAAAACACTAAGTTTCATGTCTGTTAAAGAGAAATCTATCAAAAGCTTTTTAGACATTCAAACGCAACATTAAAATCATGATTTAAAATTTTAACTGAAGTTTTGTTGCACTTCAACCGTTCTCTATTCCCATGTTTCCTGTTCCTTTGTTTCTTATTCCCATGTTCTCTATTCCCTTGTTTCCTATTCCCATGTTTCCTATTCCCATGTTCTCTATTCCCATGTTTCCTGTTCCCATGTTCTCTATTCCCATGTTCTCTATTCCGATGTTTCCTGTTCCCTTGTTTCTTATTCCCATGTTCTCTATTCCCTTGTTTCCTATTCCCATGTTCTCTATTCCGATGTTTCCTATTCCCTTGTTTCTTATTCCCATGTTCTCTGTTCCCTTGTTTCCTATTCCCATGTTCTCTATTCCCATGTTTCCTGTTCCCTTGTTTCTTATTCCCATGTTCTCTATTCCCATGTTCTCTGTATCACAATCAAATAAAAAGGCATATCTGTAAAGGCTGTATTAGTTCAGATAGGAGTGGGTTAAGAGAGATCTTTAAGTTCTACACGTGAAGCGAAGCGACCTTTGAAACCTTTAGGAGGATATTTTGGTGACTCACCTGATTTATATTTTAGTGTTGATCTGGAAAAAGGTATTTTTAGTATCAGATATCAATAATAACGTCTAAAACCGACTTCATTTGCTGGCGGGAAGATTCAACTTCCATTCTAGAGAAAACTTTTATAAAAGAAAAATAATTTCTGGTGTAGTAGATGGTGGTTTCCTAAAGACTTGTTAAAATGGACGTTTCTGCAGTGATCTGACGTCACTGATTGGTCCTGATGATGATGATGATGATGGCAGTGACATCATCGTGTCCATCAGAGAGGAAGAGCACAGAGAGGAAAATGGAAACCAGTGAGCACACAGATGAGGCATGCAAGTTCAAACATTCAAAGGAACAAATTTATTCATAAATAAAAAAAACAAAAATAAACAGCCATGCAGACAAGTTTGTTTTTCAGAGTAAAACCCACAAAGAAAAAATTAAAATAATAAAATCCAAAGAAAGTAAAACTGAACTATATTTCAAAACAAATTGAAATAAATAGTCCAAAAGCCACAAAATGCAATAAATAGGTTTCACCATTAGTTGTTAAAATAATAAAAAAAGGCGTCACAAGAATAAAAGCATCTCGGAAGCAGACATCAGATTCTACACGTCGCCCGTCACAGCATGCCGTCAACTTCAGAGCGTTTTCATCAGTTCACTTCTGTACATGTGCTGCTTATTGTACACACACTTTTCTACTAATCATGTTCAGGTTTGGTTTCTACGACGGAATATTACGACCGCTGAAAGAAAAAGAGACTGAAGCTGAAATATTTCAAGACTTAAGTTATATTAAGTTAAGTTAATATTTAGAGTAGAACGTAATGAAATTACAGTTTAGGTTGTAATATTTCAGGAATTAAGTCAAAGTTTTGAGAATAAAGTAGGAAGCACCGTTATTAAAACTTTCTTCGGGGAATATTACCTATTTAATCCTAAAAAGTGTAACAACTTTTAGATTCTTACATACAGCTTTTCCTCAAAATCTTGCAATTATCTTATTAAAATATTAAGCCTTTTTTTATTAAAATATTTCATTTTTTAAAGTTAAAATATTGCATTTTCTTCCTCAAAATATTAACAATTTTTATTAAAAATAATGGGACCTTGTTTCTTGACATAATGTCCCGTTTTTAATCTAAATATTACATTTTTCCTCACAAGATGTGTCAAGTTTTTTTTTTTTTTTTTTTTTCTCCAAACAGTCTCTTATACTTACTGACCAAACCAAAGCATGAAGAAGAAAAGTTGTACGCTGTACAGATGCAGTGAGGACAGAAAAGTAAACCAATGCGATGGAAAAAGGACCAAAGTGTGCCAGTAAGAGCTCCATCATTTCATGTGCAAACAGCTTTAGAGTTACTTCACCGCCAGCAAAGCAAATCCCTTCTTTTATTTTTTGGTTAGTCCTCCGGGCCTCCAGTGCATAAAGTCACCTGTCACCTGGGTGGGCCAGGTGTCTGTTGGGATAGTTACCCGGGGTTTTTGGGCTCGCTGTCTCGGGACGAGCCGCCGCCCTTCAGCTTGCGGACGAGTTTCTCGCTGCTGCGACGGATCGACGCTCTCAGTTTACTGAAGGAGCCGCTCCTCTTCAGAGAGCCGGAGCCGTCCTGATGGGAGACGTCACAGCGTTACACTCTTTCACAACACACTCCATTTTATTTGTTGTTTTAATAGCTGCACAAACCAGGAGTGTATAATATGTGTGAACATTAGCGTAAGACTGGTGTGTTGTTGGCCACAAATCAGGCCTTCTTTTGAATTTAATCAACAGAATTCTGACTTTTTCCAGTCTGTAAAACCTGAAGACATTGAGTGTTGAGCAAATGATTCAAAATACTGCATTCGGAGGCTGAAACAACATTTTTATACAATTTAGTCTCATTAATTTGGATTTCTTGGGACCATATGTGAAAAACATTCAAGTCATTCTGGATTAAATCAAAATGTTTGTGTGCAGCAGTCTTTAAACGTCAATATACACACAACAGAAGTGCATGATCGTCCATGCAAAACGATGCAGATTTGTAAAGTTCTGTAAAGTTGCATTGTGACAACTTTGGTCCGCCCACGTGAGTCCACTTACTGAGTGGCACCTTCATCTGTTGCTACATGGAGTCCTACGTGACCCATAAGACTAAATAACTAAAAACACCTGCGTGGTTGTGCAAAAGCTTTAATTTAATGTTTCCTGTTCCAACCCGTCTACTGAGCCTGGACAGAGTCATAACATCAACACAGAGGAGTTTTTAGTTATTCAAATCAGAGAATATGAATCTAAACCTCAATGACTAGTCAGTGTCTCCAGCAGAGTAATGTTAGTCTGGTGCCCAGTGAAACGGAAGAGGAAGAAGCTGAGAATGAAGCAGAGCATGCTGGGTACTGAGAAAAAGTATTCAGCCATACTTCTAAAATCTGATTTCATCTCGAAAACAGTGGTGGAAGAAGTACTTTTACTAGTAATACCACAGTATAAAAAAAAGGTACTAAAGTGTTAGTGTCATAATACTTTAAGTACCAAAAGTAATAGTACTCTTTATGCAGAATGGCTTATTTCAGAATATTAAATTATTGGATTATAATTATTGACGGATTATAAGTATCATTAATGTTGCAGCTGGTAAAGAAAAACACACACATCTAAAATAAAACATGATTTATTAGTTGACTGTTAATCTCACTCTGCAGTGTAACTAAAGCTGTCAGATAAATGTAGAGGAGCATAAAATAGAAATATAAGGATTCTTTATAGATCGATAGATAGATAGATATCTCTGTTAGGCTAATATTAGGCTGATAAAATCAATACTGGGTTGGTAATTGACAAACTAAATCAAACATGGTGGTTCCTTGGTTCAGTCTTTATGATGATGAATATATAAATAATAGTGTCAGTACATTTCTAGTAAGTAAACAAAATCTAAGGATTTGATCTGTTGCAGAGGTGAAGAATGAAATTTCAATCTTAATTAAATCATTTAATTTAAATTCAATTAACCAATTTCCCCTCTGTGATCAATTAAAGGGAAAATCCGCCTCCTTTTGTGTGGACGTCCAGTCCGTGTTGATGGTTAATGGAGCAATAGAATCCTCCCTGCGTGTTAACTTGATGCATCATTCTCCCTTAAAGACCATCTAGTGCTGAACGAGCGTAATGACTTGTGGAGGATAATTTCTAATATTTGATTGATGGATAGTTTTTACTCCTTCTGGGACAAATGTGTGTTATTTTGAAGCTAACAAGGACCTGTTGATTTAGAGATCTCTCTTCAATGAGACAACGTTGCATTAGCTTAAAGTATTTTAACTACTATGACTCGAGTTCCAGGACCGAGAGTGCTGCTGCTGAGAGGTGTTATTGATGTTAAGAGCTCACTCACACAGAGAGAAGAGAGGGAACACACAAAGAGGCGACAGCCACAGGTTTCAGGTGAGCAAAGAGTTTGGGTTTTATTAGAAGTTAAGAAAGACAAACTGTCAGATGCACAAACAGGACAGGAAGGACACGCAGAGAGATTATTAGCAAGGAGCCGAGAGCAGAGACGAGGAGACCATTTTAAATTCCCAAATGTCAATTGAACTTGTTTACAGCAAACTCCCTTCACCCATCGTGACATCTATATACAGAGATATACAGAAGGTTACAGGCTGCAGGCACCATGTTCAGGCCTGAAGATTCACTTCCTCGTCACTTTACCAGGTGAACTCTATTCTGTCAAAGTTTAAAGACATCGTGCATGAATCCCGTTACCTTGTCCCACATTAGTTTAGTCCGACATCATAGCGGACAGATGACACGGAGCACAGAGTGACGAAGAGCGAATGACTAAACTCTAACAGAGCCACAACCGACGGTGCTTCACGATCATGCTGACGAGTTACGCCGACGTTATTTACAGCGCGTTAAGAATCACGATGAGCTTTGAGTTTAGGTGCTGAATTAAACTGAATGGAGAACAGAAAGAAGGACGGAGACGTGGGAGGATAAAGTGTTCAAAGCTTTAACTCGGACCATTTCATACCTGGAAGGTAACCGACAAAAAGGTTGTATTGTAGGTTTAGTTTTCGATTGATCGGTCGACCGTCAGCAGGATGTAATCAGCTCTGAGTCTTTATATTCCTCCTAAATCACGTTAATCACAACCTGATGAGTCCAAACTTTGACTTTTTTCTGTCCAATAAAGATTTGGGAAGGTTGTGAGTGTGTGGATACATAAAGGACTGAATATGCACACAACTACTATTTTACCATATTTTTGACAACCTCTGTTTGTAGGGGAATATATTAATTGTACAACAGGCTGTAAAATCGATCTCTCTTTTATTTATTTTATCTTTGCTGTTTTAATCGTACAGATCTTCAAAAATGTCAATCATTTTTAATCACGTTTGTTTGACGCGTCTGATCCTTAAATGTACCAAACAAAACATAGAATGAGTGCTAACATTGAACTTATTGTTATGATGTTATGAACTTTATATTAATCCATGATATTTAGGCTGCAATTAATGATTAATCTGCTGTTCATTTTTGTTGATTAACAGTTGTATTGTTTTGTCTGAAAAATGCCAGAATACAGTGATAAATATTACAAATTATAATTTAACAAAATCCAAGATGACATATTTAAATTGCTGATTTTATCTTGAATATTCAGTTTACCATCATCCATGACAGAAAGAAAGCATTAAATCCTCACATTTGAGAAACTAGAAATGATCTTTGCTCGATATGATTATCTGTCGATCGACTGATCTTTTAATTTCTACATGCGTCACGTCACCGTTTGTTTGGTACATTATTCTAGCATGCTTTAAAAAAACAAACAGCTTAAACGGCCTTCTAATCATTTCTTTAAGCTCCAAGAAAGCAAATAACTTTAAAGCCGACAGCTGTTATTCTGGTTAAAATGATGATTTTGATGATTTTGAAAAGTTGAGAGTCCAGGTAAAAATGGAGAGAGTTCTGCTTTAAAGACAAAGTATAACCGTCAATCTCCCCACACAATGTCCCCCAAAACAAGCTATTAACTCTACAGCCAACATGAAGGTTTAAAGACAGAAAGAGAGGAAGTAGAGAAGCAGAGTGTTAGAGGACAGCAGAAACAACATGAGAAGAGTTTAACGTTGCCATAAAGAAACATCTCTGGGATACACAGTCGAGTACAATGCTTCAAAGACAAACCCAACAGAGAGGAGCTTTTGAGCTTTTAAAAGCAACATTATCGCTGTGGTTCGACCCGGCGTGAAGAATCCCCACCAGAGAGAGAGAGAGAGAGAGAGAGAGAGAGAGAGAGAGAGAGAGAGAGCTGAAGAAAACTGCAAAGCTGAAGGGGTTGAGGCGAAGTGAAGCCAGGCGAGGCGTCCGTCATGCAGAAGACAAGTTTTTTAGAACCATTACAAGGCATCTGGAGTTACGCCTGCCGGACAGACGGAGCAGAAAGAAGGAAATACAAACAGTGGAAGAGAGATGAGACAGTTTGAAAAAGAAGTCATGTAGGAGAGAGGAAGGAGAGAAACAGTGGAGGAAGAGAAGAGGAAGAGAAACAGTAGATTAAAGAGGCGGACACGGTTATCGAGTTCCCAGATCAGACACAGCACTTCTCCACCAGCTTGTGCTTTAGCTTCAGACAATCTAAATCTCTGAACCTCGAAATGTCAAAACACAGCGACCATACAGCTTCTGTGTTCACCAAAAATGTATCTATAAACTCTGGCTATGGCTATTAGGCTGGTTTATAAAATACAAGGAAAACAAACTAATCTTTCTAGATGCAGCAGCCTCTATAGTCCTTCTCTACTTATTTAAATATAGATAAACACTGATACAAACATAGAAAGGCATCAGATGGTGATCACAGACCGTCTACGCAGAATAACTTCATTCCTGTGTGATGTAGTTTACAGAGCTCGCCTCCAGGTGGAGCCTTTGCACAGTTTAACATGACGGAGAGATGCTGTGTCTGAATATCTGGAACATTTGTTAGCACACTTAAGAACAAGTAGAACGAGGTTACACTTTGTTAGAGCACCACAGAATAAAAGACGGAGGGGATGCAGGCAGGAAAACACATGAGAGCAGCCAGTTAGATACTTTGATGATGATTTCATACGGAGTTATGAGTACGTTTCTTTCTGTAGGTTGCATTTGAGAAGCTAGAAACTGTATTTTGGGGCAATTTTTGCAAAAACAATTACTCGTTTAAGTAATATTTGCTCTGCTTTTGAATGGATAAAACAAACAACCGTTTGCCTAAAATGTAGCTGTAATAAAAAACAGCACATTAGTGATCATAATAATAAACGTATAAGAGCTAACAGAGCTTTGGAGCCTGGTCAAAGGATATTCAACACAACTCAACCGAAAGATAATCTGCATATTTAGTGTTTTAAGCGTCTAATATGTTTTCAGTAAACATTAAACATTCTCTTCCTCTCTGGCTGCCAACATGCTGACAAAGCAAGCAAAGGAAATAAAATAAAACCACACTTTACATTCTCCGGCAGCAGCTTGTCACACAGACGCAAAGGAGAGGTACATATAAACACAAACATCACACAAAGAGTACAGTACAGAGCCCGTGTTGAGTCAGACAAACACACTGATGAGTCACAGTGATCCTCAGAGGACCGGTTTAAGAGTCAAGTGACTGTTTTAACACCTGGTGGAGAGGGCTGGAGAGGAAGTGAGGATTTGTTGGAAGGCAAAGATTTAGTTTGACAGCTGCAGGGAAGCAGTGGAGGGTAAAAATACCGTGAACACCATGTTTTTACCCATCTGATATAAGTTATAGTCGTCTGTAATATTAGAAACCTGCGATGTACAGTAGAGCTGTACTGAACTGAATAGTTTAAAGCATGTATTTCTGCACAGTGTCAGATAAAGATCAGGCTACACTAATGTTATTAATACATGTGTTTATTTGACAAAATATTCAGCTACAGTTCATATTTGTTGGCATTTAGCCTTTTAAACTGTGTTTGCTGCAGACAAAGAGAGGCAATCTAACAGCCCCATGATTACATTTATAGAACCAGAGTAACACAAAATCTAGGTTTTTTTCCATGGGGTGGGGGGGGGGGGGTGCTGATGATGTCATAATATATGACATGAGGCTTCATTAGAAAACCTCAATAGAAGCTTTGAATGTAAGAAACTAAAATGCACTGGGTAGAGCCCTAATATATGTTTGAATGATATTCATTATGCATACATACTGATCTATATACACATGTTCATTTATACATGTATGCACACTAGTTAGGGTAACATAGTCACTTGTCTTGTTCCTACCTACCTCTCTGGTCGCTGCTGTGATGCTGAATCAATAAAGTTTGATTTTATCTTAAATAAAAAAGTTCTTTCCAGATAAGACGATATAAATATGTGCAGACATCAGCTGGTGATGTGAGACTAATAACAGCGTGTCTCAAACCAAACCTCCAACAGCCACAACCAGAGGTGCAGGAGGAGATGCTGATTGGCTGTCCAGGGCGCTATGACTAGTGTTGCTATGTGAGCAGGCAGCAGAAAATAAGATGAGGAGCAGCAGCAGCCTGCAGCGACTCTACATCTACATGTTGTTGTCTCTCCGTCGCTAGGCTGAAGGAAACCTGCAGTCACTGTGAAATGTACCCGCTCAGCTGGGTGTCGTCAACATGTGTTAACATGAGATGTGAAGGCAGCTTAGTTAGAACCACAGTTAGTGGGAAAAGCTCTACAGAAAGAGTTTAGTGGTTTATCACGAACAAAGTGCTATAGTATGTAGTATGTAAATAGGTCAGAGGTTTAGGCAGCGGTTCACTTATTAATCAAAGTGTAACAGTGAAGTACAAGCAAAAGCTACTACGGGAGTTGTGACAGTCAATCAGCACAGACCATCTTCTTACTGTCGTTTTAAGAGATATTTCTAATGATTAACGGAGTAAAGTAACAACCTCGTGGTGTTTTTCTGGACAGAAACCACTGGAACCCTCAAACATTTACATCCTTTAAAGTCGACTGCTCATCTCTACGTATTAGTACCCAGCAGATTAAACACGGAGGATCTAATCTTAATACGTTTGTCAAACACAAAGCAGACAATGAACGAAGTGATCAAAATTGAGATTTTGAATCTTCACTTACAGTCAATCAACTAACAACTTTGATTTTAGGTACATTAAAAGCTAAATCACACTATATTTAACCATAATTTGTTGTTTTTATTGAGCAGAGTTTTGATATTTTCTGTCATCTTGTAACTTTAGCTATGAATAATAAACTGGCCTCCCATGCCTCCTCTGGTTTACTAGTTAACGCATGAAGAACTGTACTTTAACGGCTGTCTATCAAATAACTAGAGAGGAAAACTAGTGATGTGCACAGTAGATGTACTGTAGCTGACATCAGCATGGATGTAAAGAGGAACACATGCACACTGACTCCAAACCACAAAGCTATTTAAATGGACCACAACGGTTATGGAGAAATTTGTGGTTTGTCATATTGCAGGTGTTTCCTGATGTTTCAAATTGCATTTTTACTCGTCAAGGATTCACCCGAGACTTGCTGCACATTTTATTGTTCCATTTATATTATTTTAATAGCACCAACCTCACCAAGACAAAGATAAGTAAAGCAGTTCAAATAATCTGCATGGAGGGTAATATGCAGTTATTCATCTCTCTGTATTAACAGTTTATATGTAGATACGGCTCATATTTATCAGACTTCATCTCGTTCTATGTGGCTTCTGTCCTGAAAGAAACGCGTCGCTTGTTATATAAACATGTGTGGAGACTCTCAGTAGCGTGTCGAGGGCTGTGTACTGTACTTACCCCGTTCCACTCCACGCTCATACTCACTTCCTCGCCACCGTCCGGCCCGCTCTCGTACTTCACCGTGTCGGAGGTCAAGCTCTCGCGGCTCCGCTGCTTCTCGCGGGCCTCCGGCTCGCTCAGGACCTCTGCCACGCGCTGCTTGTGCACAGTGTCCAGACCCTGACACACACACACACACACACACACACACACACACACACACACACACACACACACACGCCAATTCAACTAATCCAATTAATACAAAAGCTGAGCACCTCTGCCACCTGGAGCTAGAGCACCCTGTCACACACATTTCATCCAATCCAATTATTGTTAAAGCTACAGACTTCTACCACCTGCTGCACTGAACCCCGGCCCTGGCACACACTCGCACCTTAAATTCCACAACAGCAGTAGAATCCTATTCAGTCAAAACTCAACGGTTTCTTTAAAGGAAATCCTTGAACAGCAAACAGAGACGTGTGTTTTCCTGTTGATTCTTCAGTGCCACCACCAGCCTAAAGATCCTCTTCAGAAATGTTTTAAGGCATAACATTTTCTGCTTTGTATGATATTTAGTGTCTGATATACAAGAGAAATTCAATTACATTGATAAAAATGTTTATAATTGCATCTAGTCAGTCTGTGTCATCTACGATTAGAGATATTGTTCATGATAAAAGTTTAATGACTGGACATAAGACGACTTCAACGTCACTGAAAAGTTGATTCTCGGTGTTTCTGCCCTGGAGTCTTTAAGTATTCGTTGCAATTTTGTTCCTGAGAGTGAGGGGACAGCAGAGGAACTTTCCCCTTTCAGCAGATCAATGTGGAAACACTGCAGAGTGAAGCTCAAACATGCAAGTGAAGGGACAGTAAGTAAAACTCATGTTGGAGTCGAGGGGGATGTTTAAGGTTTTGTAGGAAAAGACGTTAATCTAAACGCAAATTCAGAGGGATTTACCTCCAGGAAAACAAGTTGGTAAAATTAAGTAGCGTCTGCTGCAACTCTATCATTGTGCAGCATTAATTATAACGAAGTGCAAAGACTGTTTCCTTTAACCCTGTCTGAAGAATGAATTATTCAAGACTGGAAAACAAACCAACAGGAGGTGATCTGACTCAAAATGTGTGCTCTGTTATTGTTATGAACATACTCCTCCCTTTTAACATTTAAGAGAGTTTGAAACTGTACTGAATCTTTAAAATGAAAATCTAATTTTGGACATGTATTGTTTTAAATGTAAAAGTATAACTTTTCCATTTACAAGGCGCAAACATAAACCATGACCACATAAATTAAATGTGTCCACTGTACACTAAAAAACATTTTACCGAAAAAAGTGTTTATATGTTTTCTCAGCTTCTCAGAACTATAATAAAGCCCTAAATATTGACTTGATTTGTTATAATAATCTGTTGGTAAGTATCGATAATTTCTAATACTTAAATTCTAATTATTTATAATTTGATTACCTAAATGATGGTCTCTCCAGCTGTAACAGCAGGAATCCAGTTTAATTTGAGCATCATGTGTAACTTCCCAACCGAGAGGTACTAAGGACATTAAATCCTGGAGAGAAATCCTAATTCATGATGAAAGCTGCGGGGCTTCACCACCTCTCATCTCCACAGGAAACCCCATTAGATCTCATAAGCAACGCGCCTCAGAGTGTTGAAAAGCTGCACTTCACGCTTCATCATCTCAGTCCTAATTTGACACTAGATTGATCCCGTTTTGCCTTTTTAATCTGCAGTAAACGCTGAGTCGACCCATTTCATCTGCCTCCAATCTCTGCAGTTTAAACACCGACAGCGATGTCTGAACCGCAGAGAGGAATCCTGCGTTATTAGTCACGTGATCCGGAGCCCACACCTGCTTTCTGGAGCGCATGGCAGCTTCCTCCAGAGTCTCGGCCGCCTCGAACTTGCCCTGCCGCCTGTAGAGGGCACCGAGGTTCTTCAGGGTGGTGGTCACTGTGGGGCTGCAGAAAAACCGGGAGGAGGAATATATTTCACCACAGAGAATCATTCTGGTGAAGGAGGTGTAAATCCACTGATTTAGAGATATCAATATTACTCATTTCAATTAAGCTGTTTTGTTCTTCAAATGTCTATAGATACAGCCTGTGTGCTGTGTTAACCATGTCAGAAACAAATGATCTAAAGGGTTAAACATGTACTGTATACATATACATGTGAATTCAAACAAAGACTAAGAGCAGCTGTTCTTTGAACTTGAGGGTTGAGAGCCATGGGATCATTGGATCCCAATGAGGGGTCAGAAGATGATTCAACACATTTCATTTTCACAAAAAGATTTTTACCTTTTCAGACTTCTCTAAAATGTGCAATTTTTCTGGCAAATTTACTTACAAAAAACTTTTTGGTTGAACTGGTCAGAACCAGTAGTTATACAACCGATGATGAAAAGATCAAAAGTAGAACTCACTTAGTTCTAAAGGGTCACAGGATCATTACAGAACCTTGTTGAACATTAACATACATCTTTACTTGTTTGTTTGCTGCTGTGAGCATCGGTCCTCTTCACTCAAACACTGAACCCATCAAACAAACTGACCTGTCCACTTTGCAGGCTTTGTACCAGCCTCCATACTCTCCAAACGGTGAGCCGTCCTTCTGCTTCCCCTACGAGACAAAAACTCACGAGTGTAACACGAAACGTCTTCATCTACGGACCCCATGGACTAAAACGTGAAGTGACTTGTGCATTAAAAGGATGAAGATGAACCCATTTTAAAACCAGAGGCTTTTTTTTTTAAATACCATCAACAAAAACATGAAGAGGATATTTAGTGGTGGGATTACAGTCGAGTCAGGTTTCCTTCTCTGAAACCTTTTAAAACCATGACCAAAATAAACTCCTCTAGTCAGGTACTCGCACCATCAGCACTAGCTGGTTATTACAGAGGCTTAATCTGCTAATCCAACTCTTTGTGAAGTCAATCCTTCCTATTTCATCTTAAATACAATAATGAGAGTCAGAGGAGTTTAATGTCAGTGTGACTCAGTTTTTCTTCTCTGTGCGTTTGTTTGTCCCGACTTGTGTTTGATTTGTCTATTGTTAAAAGTGACTTTTTAAAGTAATCATAAAATCTCGGGGACAAACACAAGATCCACTAAATAAATAAAAAAAAAAATATATATATATATCAAACAAATAACTAGAATTATACTTCACAGGTTGACAAAAAGATAGACAGACTTTGCTCACCTTGCTTTGCTCCTCTCTCTCCTCAGCATGCATCCATATTGGTTTGTTCTCATCTGCAGAGGAACACGCAGTGCAATGAATCAGTGCTGATAAACATTCAGATAAACAGCAGCAGGGAGGACGAGTTTTAACAAGTCACTCTGGTTCTGAAGAAGTGCGTTAGCTTTTCAGCTGAAAGGTCATTTTTGTTTACAGCAACCAAAATGCCTGAAATATTAACCTTTACATTAGAAGAAGAGAACAGTGGGAGATGTCAAAGAAGTACAGGTCTGTTTGTGTGTGTTGGTTTAGAGTCACTACTGAATGAAATGTGGGTGTGTTCATCGTCCGGTCACATGTCGTACCATCAACAGAGCCGAACTCCCTCTCGTGAGCGCGGGTGAGGATTTCTTTATACAGAGTTTCAGCCTGCTTGAACTTGCCCTGTTTCAGGTAACAGGAGGCCTGAAGAACACAAGAGAAGCAAACATTAAGAGTCAGCATGACGCGGGAAATGATAAGAGGTTGTTCTAGTACATATAACACGTTTTTATAAATATAAAACATTTTATGTTTATTTTCCACAAGTACAATTAAAAAGGTGCAATTTGTAAGATATGGCCACACGCTCCAAAAATATAGTGAGCAGTATTTCACCTCTAATACTGGGTCCATAAAAACAGAATTTACAGTCATCAAAAACTACTTACGAACAGCAGGGCAAGAATACGCAAAATTCAACCAAACTGCCGAAGATCAGTTAGCGGTTAGCTGTAGCAACGCCATCAAGGAAGAGCAAAACCTCAGCGTTGGGGGTTCGATCCCGGGAGACTGCCCCGGCTCCCCAGCAAACTTTCTGTTACACAGGTTAGAACCCCAGCGCTGCCGCTGTGGCTCCAGAATGCCAGTTGATACCGCTAACCGGCCCTCCTCCTGGAAAAGTACTCTCCTAGTGATGAGGATGATGAGGCGAGGGTACGAGTAGTTTTTTTCGTTTCTGCCACTTTGATTTAACCCAATAAAAAAACTATCAAATGTACAGATGTATTATTGACAAGCCTTTGGTGCAGCTCTACTACTTCATTCTCTCATGTTTGTTTGAGGACAGACTGGACTTTACAATGTCTCACTGTCGCCTCTAGAGGTACAAGTAGTATTACAAGACAGGAAGGGCCGGGGCTAGCGGGTTAGCATGCTCAGTCCTGTAGTGTTTTTGTTATTTTAGGGAGTTACCCTCAAACTAAAATCTAGTCTCTGTGGCACGTTCACCACTAATCTTGATCAGGCCAAAGGAATGACAACACAAGTGTTACTGGCTGACAAACGGCTTCCTCTCACCAGGTTGTTCTTGGTCTTGGCCACGTTGGGGTCGTCGGGGCCCAGTTTGGTCTGGTAGATCTCCAGGGCTCTCATGTAGTAGTACTCCACCTCCTCGTACTTGCCCTGGTTCTGACACAGCAGGGCCAGGTTGTTCAGCTGCTTGGCCACATCTGGGTGGTCCTTCCCCAGCACCTGGGACGGAAGCAAGAAGAGAGTAAAGCGGGTTAAAACAACAGTCATTACATCAAACTAAATGAGTTTTAGAGGACAAACTGTGTCTCACATGGGGCCATTTGGTCAACAGGTCTTCTTAAAGCTGAGAAACTACCACCGGGCTGGGACCAGGTGCTGTAGCTGCTACTCAAATCGGTTTGCAATTGCTCTCTTTAAGTGGCTATAAAACTTTGGAATTCACTAGTAACTGGTCAGCAATACATTTCGCTTCCATCTCTGAATTTCCCTCAGTTTAAATCCTCTTGTCTGGTTTTGTCATTTTGGATTTCGTTTTGTCTGCCAATATGTTGTCCATCAGCAATATTTGTTACATCTCTTGCCAGGTTGCGTTGACCCTTTCACGGCTTACAGCTCATTTGTAACGTTGCTGATCTTGAAGTTTGAGTCTAACATTACTCACTCACAACATTTCCCTCAACATTAGTACCACCTACATATTATGAGCTATTGTAGACCAATAAATCCAGGACGCCATAATGGAAATTAAATCTGTAACTGGTGTCTAACCTATGGAGGCATCTCCTAACGGACTTCGACCTGTGGACTATCGACCTGCTTAATTAAATAAAAGCAGAGTACAAACACATGAGTGCAGCAACAAACAGCCTTTATCACAGAAAACGACTAAACGCAGCCAAAAGACACAGAACCGGCATGAAAAAGAAATCTTTGCATTAATGTGGATATGAGAGCGCTGTGAGCTTCTCCTGTGTGCTGAGGCGGCTTAAAGTCATGAAAGGCAAGTGTAGCGAGCGTGAAAGAGATGCAAAAGTACCATGAGAGACTAAGGTGACCAGACCTAGAAAAACTGCAGTGAGGGTTTTATCTGAGTCTGACTGAGCAGAATAGAGAGGGAAGGACGAGGAGACCGGCTGAGACTTTGAATCTCTTTTTCCTTCCTGGCACTTCTTTTTCAAAAGAGGATGAAGGAGGACAGAATGCAAAAGTGAAAAAGACATTAAGCAAGAGAAAGCTAGAACTCTCTGCTGGCTTGAGAAACGCTTCAGTAACAACACTGAGGAATGGGAGACGTGAACAGAGGAAAAAGCACTTGGTGTGAAAAATGAAAGAGTATCAGAGATAAGACGTAAATCAAGCAGCTTGTTGTTCAGATTATTAAAGTATAAATCTGTAGGAGGTCTGAGATCAATGCTTCACAGGATCATCTACCTCAGTCCTCCTCCTCCTCCACATAACACATCTGACAGCTTTCCTGTAAACATTAGCTGGAGAAGGATTGCCATAAGCCGCGTGCGACGACGAGGTCTAGGTCACTGACGTGTTTATCGATAGATACCGTGTCTTCAAATACCAGAAGTGCAGCAGTCTGAGGTGATGTCTGGGAAGCTCTGAGAAACACTAGCTTCCTCTAAATTTATGCTGAAGGGCCTCTACTTACAGGTCACAGACTGAATCCATGTTTTATCCAAATATTTACTGAATATGGGGATTTTTCTTTGGAGAAATCCTGAGATCCGTTTCTATCCCTCTGAGACATATTTCAATAAAGACGTCAGTGCAAAGACACAGCTAGCAGCAGGTAGGACTTCAGTTTCTTATTCAAGGACATTTGAGCAGAAAAGAAAACTTTGGCTGTTTGATGAAAGGTTCAAAAATAATTCCAATGCAGTGGACTTGTGGGTTTTCATTATGTTGTTTCATTTAAAGGATAAGGCCGGCAGAATTACAAATGTCAATAGATCTATTGAAAAGAGCTAAACAAGCAAGCATTAGTTCCTCAATACTTTGCCCATTGGTTCCTACTGAAGACATACTGTAAATGTTTAAAAACAGGTTCATAATTTCATTAATTTCTTTTAACAGTCGGCCAATGTAGTTTTTATTAAACAAAACAGGAAGAAATAATAATTTCTCCTGAAGAGTCAAAAGCTTCTAAACCAGTTTATAGCCCCATCCCTCTTTTCTCCCCGACAACCAAACTCACTGAGGAGCTGAGCTTTCCCGAGCTTCTATAAATAAAAGAAGAAATGCAGGAAAAAGGAATCCTTATTATTCAGCAACTCTGCAGCAGCCACCTCGCCTGTGCAGGAAAAACTAAAATCTTTCAGCTCAAGCGAGAGCGTAATCTCCTGAGTTTAAGTAGCGGAACAAAAAAATGAAGATGCTCAGGCTCAACCAAAGCTGACATCTCATTCTCAGAGGAGAGCGAAGGAGCTGAGGACAGATACAGAGAAGTGGATCAGATGTTCTTCAGGATTGCTGAGCGGCATCTTTGTAAGCACCAGACTAGAGGTCAGACAAAATAATGACGATCTCCCCGGAGAGACACAGGCTGACCCATGATGCACATTTAAAACAGAGTACACATATTTAAGGGTTTTTGTTTTTTATTTCTATGAAGTGTAATTTCTTCTTTTGTTTTGTGTCTTAAACCTCCGTCACCTAAACAGCGATTGTCCAATCATAGCTTTGCAGAAGTAGCTAAATTACTTTTTGTTCAGTGCTTATGTTCTTGTACAGGATTTAATATTCATTGGTGTGAATACTAAACCGTAACAGTGTAGTCCTGTGATTGGTAAAGCGTCTTTCGTCAGACAGAAGTAACCCTTAGACGTGTATGTCCCGGCTATTTTACAGCTTTCATTCCCAACACAGCCGTACCGGCACTTTCCCGGAAATGTTTCGAGGTCTTGAGGTGAGACATTGGCGGGAACACATTTGGCTGAATATTGATCCCAGCTCCCATTCACACATCACCCCATGCAGGAAATGTTCCAGAGCATTTCAGGGATGGACTGCAAGTTTAAAAAGGACTCTAGCGTAAAGCCGGTGACTCATGGAGAGTGAAATATTCAGTGCTTAGTGTTCGACTGTTCTAGGACACAGAGTTTGTCTGAAAGTGAAGTGAAAGTAAACTTTAGTTTGAAAGTGAAAGCTTTAAGTCTGGCGAAGAAGAAAAGAAGCAGAAAACAGCTGCTTAGTCATGCTTTCCTATCGTTTGTGTAACTGCTTCTGAATCTGTTTAGTCGTGGTGTTTGATGACCTTTGACCTACCTTTTCTCTGATCTCCAGCGCTCTCTTGCACAGAGGCTCCGCCTCCTTGTACTTCCCTCTCTTCCCATACAGGACGGCCAGGTTGTTGAGGGTGGCGGCGACCTGACAGGAACACAAACACATCCATTACTTCATTTCATTCATTCTTGGTGGTGAGCCTAAATCGTCTTCAACCGCAAGATTCCGCCACACCAGCAAAGTGCCATTGATCTGGTGAGAGAGTAATCATCGAGGAGGAAGCGGAAACAGGAAGTGATTATGGTGGGCTGTAATTTGATCCCAATCAGATGTATGATGAATCTTGTGCACTCAGGAAGAGGGAGACTACCGAGGTCACTTCTGATCTCTGATTCAGACAGGCTCTGGTGGCCACGTGGGCAGAGTGGGAGGAAAGGAAGGAAGGAGGGAGGGCAGAGGTGACTGGAGGAGGGGAAGGGAGTGTAACAGGAAGAGAGGAGGGAGATAAATAAAAGGGAGAAGACAAACGACTGCAAATCAAATGATTCGACTACAAAGACGATGATCAATCTTTAAGTGTTCTTATGAACTACTTCACGGTTTCTTAACCAGGGGTCCTTGACTCTATAACAGGGGTACGTGTGTATATACGGTCATTTTTCAGAGAGGTGACATGGTACATATCCAGAGTTATCATGCCGAGGTCCAACCTTCACCTGTCACCGGATCTGATTCACTGGATGTAGACTGTGGGTATAAATCTGCCATTGGTCGCGTATTTCAAGCGCCATTCTGCCCCCCCCCCCCCCCCCCCCCCCCTTTACTATTTTGTAAGGACACCAACAATGCAACCTGGGCTTGACACGCTCAAGATGTGAATGTTAAAAGTAATACATTTTTGTACTATAGCAGAATGCTAATGGGAGCAGCACTGTGGTGAGATTACCTGCAGACCAACTGGCAAATCTACAGACCACCTAATCAGCTCCTATGTAAACAGGATGGACGTGTGTTGCTACACGCATAATGGCCAACATTCAAAAAAGGGCAAAAAGAAACACAAAAAGAAGAGGTTGAAAGATTAAGAAGATCGTAAATACTGTAGAAGGAAGAAACAATATGGTGAGAGGAATCCGGGTGAGATAATAGTTTATATTGTTGATAAAACTATGATTTTTTTTATTATAAATCACTGAAAAAAATAATTTATTTATATGAAGAACCATCAGGGCCTGGTGGCAGGATGAGAGGATGGAGGGCTAACCTCAGAGAGTGATGGAGATCCAGAGAGTGGAGACACAGGCCTGCTGGGGTTAACACAGTATGTTTACGGTCACCACGACAAACAGAAGCTAATGGGATCTGAGAGCAGGAGTGGGTCAATTATTTATGAACTCTACCGTGTTCGCTGTGATCGTTCTGGACTGCAGTCACAGATGCATCACAATGTGTTTGGAGAAATTTAATTAGGAGAGCTGTAAAATGTGGCCTGAACACAGCCAACATTTCCTAAGAGGCCTCAGGGCAACATGTACTCCTGTATTCCACTGGAAAACATTACAATTTTATCAGTAATTCAGAAGTTGTTGTTTTGTTCTTGACAAACAATATCCTAAAATTGAGAAATTCTTCTTCTTTTTGTATCTAAGAAGTAAAATTCATGTTCTTATATAGAGCAAATTCAGCAGCTGGTATATTAGCACAACCTTTTTATACATATAAACCAGTTGAAGCTCCTGTTATTTAGAAGAGATAACACTTTTATAAAACACTTTTCTTTAGGAGTTCCACTTAGCAACTCTGAAACTCCCTGGAAGCTTCACAGGCTCTTTAATAATGATAAACTCCTCAAAACTGTAACTCAAGCATGACTTTGGCTGCGCTGTTATTACGGCTGTCAGTGTTGTTATATGTGTTACCTGAAGGGGAGCAGGGTCACATGTTATTGTTCGCCTGAGGGGGAAACCGGGACACTGCAGCAGCTAAAAATAGGTCTAGATCAAAGAGTAGAGATAAAGAATGCTTGTTTCCTTTAAATGTATTAACTGCAGGTTAAAGTGTTTATTGTACTACAGCCAGGAATCCATTGGTAGAGCTCTTGTTTGACTTTTAGTGAAATACACTTATTGGCTTTCTTGCCGAGAGTGAGCTGAGAGGATCAATACCACCCTTGTGTCTGCACTGTAAATATGAAGCTACCGCCAACAGCTTAGCATAAAAACAGGGGGGAAACGGCTAGCCTGGCCCTAGCCAAAATTAACATAATCAGCAGACAAGCAGCTGCACATAAACTCTCATTGCACCACAATTTATCATTTTTAAGCTTTGGTTTGTTTGAATTAAATAAATGAGGAATATTATGTTAATTAGTGATCTTTAGAAGCGCCAGATTTTGTGACCTTTGATAGAGTAAGGCTAGCTGTTTCTAGTCTTAATGCTAAGCTATGCTAACCACCTAATCGCTGTAGCTTCATATTTACTATACAAACTTAAGAGTGGTAAAAATCTTCTCATCCAACTCCCAGCAAAAGAATAAACTTTAAAAAATAAACGTTAAATAATCCGTTTAATGTTGTTCAGATGGGAGAAGTTGCTCAAATATTACTATCTGCCCGACAACCCATTATGTTAACGTGAGATACAAGATACATCTCTAATATTCAGATACATCTGATTGAAGCAATGTCACAAAGGTACTGTGCAGAAAAAACATGGCACAGCTGAATAAGTTAGACAGATGTACTCACAGCTGGATGGTCCCTGCCGAGAGTCTTCTCCCTGATGGCCAGGGCGTCGTTCAGCAGGTTGGCTGCCTCCTTGTATTTGTTCTGATCCCTGAAACAGACAGAAGCAAAACAGAGTCAGACAGAAACACAGCAGACACAGATGGACGGACAAGCACACAAAGAAAAGAAACATAAAACTAAGCTAACAGTTTCCACCAACAGTCCATTATTTTCAGGTGACATGGTCCAAACAGCTTTGCAGCAGTTCCCACAGTCAATGCAACAGTCTGCAGACAACAAGTCGACCCAGTCTCTCATTCCTGACTATTCACGGCACCGACTATTCACTGGATAAGATTTGTGGGAGTAACAAACACGGGTCGAACCATCTAGTGTGTCACGCTTTTGTTCTTTTCTTCTTAACACTTCCCCCAGCTCTATTACTGTACTGTAAATCTCTGGTTGTGTCTGCTATGTTTGCTGTGTTCCACTTCTGACCTAGAAAGGCATCTAACTATTATTTGGGAGGTCCTACAGAGGCCTGTCACACAATGATTTGATGGTTGTTACCCAACGTGAGTTGTGAGGGGGACAAACAGACTACATGCTGGAACCGTTATCACAGCTTTCTCTCTGCAAAAAAGCCATTTCCCCCCCCAAAAGAAATTGTGCTATAAGAGCAAAAAGGTTAAAACAATTCCTTTAACTGATAACTACTAAAACGCTGTCCCAGCATTCACAGGCTTCAACTCTATTCTGAAGTCCTGAGAAGGCTTGTAAAGGAGTCAGCGTGGCCCAGGACTTTAAGGATTTACAAGCTAGTAAAGACTTGTGTTTTCATGGTGCCAACAGTGTGATGAAGGAAACAGAAGAGAAACTGTATATTAGTCCCAGCACTGACTGCAGTTGTTTAATATTATCATCATCTTCATAGGAAGTGGACAGAGAAAGAAAAATCCGATCTAGATCTTAATTTATATAAAAAATATATTAAATATGCCAACAAATCTGATTAAATTTATTAACTTTTGATTTAGGTTAAAATGACACTCTTAAACGACTGAAAGAGGAAGGTGAAACAGTCGGCCATAAAGTCCTTTTGTAGCTGGTAAACTCCCGGAACTGCCTCCTTGATGTCTAAAACACTATTTAGGGAACAACAACTAACAGCTCAGAGCCCAGAGGAAATACCTGATAGACCCACCTGTAAACAAGGGCGAGGATATTGAGCATGGTGGCCACGTCCGGGTGGTCGTGTCCAGAGGTCTTCTCCAGGTCTTCCAGGGCCTGTTTGCAGAGGGGCACCGCCACCTCGTACCTGCCCTGGGAGGCGTACTGGATCACCAGGTTGTGGAGGGTCCTCAGGCGGGCCGGGATCTCGTAGCCCCCCTGCTGGGCCGCCGCTGCCGCAGCGCTGCCGTGAGTCGGCTGGACTGGAGACACATGGAGGAAAGATTAGATGCACAGGACACACACACCTCCGTTTTTTACCTTTTCAGTCACGAATATATATTTGATGCTTTAGACAGGGTTTATCTTTTCAAACTGTAATTACAGATAAAGTCAGTATTGTGTTCACTAATAATACATTTTATAACTAAAATGCCAATAGTTTTGGTCCACTGATTATTTTCTCCAACAATCAATTAATCTATGTTCTATAAATCCAGTCGTCTTCCAAGAAGACGACTTTAATACTCTACTTTTTCGACTAACAGTCGAAAACCCAAAGATATTACATTTTCTATCACACAAGACAAAGAAAAACTTAAAATTCTCATGACTGAGAAGTTGGAAAGAAGTAATCTTTGGCATTTTGTGCTTAAAATGACTGAGTGTTTGAATATGAATCAACTCAAACGTTGTTGGTTCATTTTAACATTCCTGTGAAGATATTATTTACTTGAGTTCCTATAAATAAGTCAAAGCTGAAACCACAACAAACAAACAGGCTACTAACATATGGCCTGCAAACAAGATTATTCACACATAACCAATGACCTCATTCTGCTACAGCGCACAGCAAATGTGCTGCTTTCTGTGGGTTTACGAGGTCAGGAGGACAGGATGAGGAACGTCTGCCCGTCTGTCTGTGTAGAAGTGTGTGTATGTGTGTGTGTGTGAGAATGTATATGTGTGTGATGAAAACACCCGATTGAGTTCCTTATTAAAAAGCATGTAGCACTCTATTTACTCTGAAGGAGAGACACTTTATCTTACTGTTTTTTATTGTACCAAAATATCGAGGCCAATTCCTTGCATGTGAAAATCTACTTACAATAAACCTGATTCAGATTCTAATTCTGGGGTAAAAACTATCATCAGTCTCCTGAAGCCCAATATGATGTCTTCACATCGCTTGTTTTGACCAAAATCTAAAGATATTTTCAGATTATTATCGGTAGACATACACCTGGTACATTGTGGTTCACGGTCGGCATCTTAAAGCCCCGAACTCAACCAGTTTTTACACATCAAGGCCAGTTTACCAGTCTTAGGGAATACTTTAAGGATAAAAAGCCATCAAGTTGCATCATGGGAAGTGTAGAATGCATCTTTTTTTCTTTAAACTGTTGTAGGGACTAAAAGTGAAGCTCTCTCTTAAACATCCTGGAGGTTGAATGGAGGTGTTTTTCAGTAGCTCACCGAGTTAACCAAATGACGGATAATGTAAATATTTTTAAGCCGTAGGCCAATTTAAATAAAGGCAGGGCTGTCATCACCATTATCTCTTTCCTGCTGACGGCAATTCACCAAAACCCCAAAAGCCCTTCAGACAGGAAAGACATCTAATCTACTCCAGCATCTCTCACACACACACACACACACACACACAGTCTTACTGTCCTCTCTCATCCATCACACACCTCCATTTATTCAAAAACACACCGTACTTTAAGCTCTGCTCATCTGCACATGTGATTTATGTTCCCACTTTTATTTGATGCCATGAAGGAGGAAGAGAGATTTTTGGAAACATGGAACCAATAAACCTCGTGCTTCTCTCCCCCTCCAGGCTTCCACCCATCTGTTTCTTATTCTTTAGCCCTCCGAGTGTTTGTGTACACCGTCATCAAATGTAGCTCGATTGTATTTACTGTAAGCACTGACGTGTGGGTGTGAGCAACAATGAGACATGTTTGTGTCAATGGGCGTGGGTGCATAATTACTAAAAAAATAAATTGTGTTGATCTCAAACCTGACTTATAACTTATTTGCAAGTTGCTGTGAATGATTCCCAACATTAAATAAATCTGACATATACAGTATATACCTTTATATACACGCTACTATCTCAATAACCCAGAGGAGAAACCTCATTTGATTTTTAATTCATTGTGCAGTATTGACATCTTATGATGTAGAAAGTCAATCTCATGCTCCCCCACTTTCCCAACCAAACGTACAGCTACATTCTATTAAGTGTGTCTCTATTTATAATTCACACCCAGTCTGTGCTGCTGGGAAAACACTGAAAATCAGCATCAGGAAGCCAGTTTTCCACCTAAAAACATCAAACGAATGGAGGCCCTCTAATTTGACACAGTATCCCGAAACCAACCTGCTCCGCTCTCTCTGCTCTACAACCTGCTCTACAGTCAGAATTTAGGCCAAAACACAGGGAAGTCTGGATCAAAACCTAAAATTACACCCACCAAAAAACACTGCGCGAGTGGGAAATTACCACCCGACACATTCTGGTTGGCAACAGTAGAAAAGATGGTTCCTCTTTGAGAGCAGAAACTCAGAGAACAAACTGTTCAATGCAGAGAGAAACGTGAAAAGTTATTTCTTCAGTTAAAGAAGAGCATCAGACTTCAAATGAGCTGCAAATATGTCACGAACATTATTGTTTTTGGATCTTTCTGCCTCTTAAAAAGGACACAACTGTTTAGTTCCCCAAACGTCCTCAAAGCTACGGTACATTACATCAGCAAAATAAGTGCTGTAGCTCTTCTGGTTGAGGTGTTGGATTTAACTGTCGTTGAGGAACAGGTTGGTTTAATATGGTATTATAGTACCAAATGTTTAAGCATTTAATTTATATTTAAAGCCAAAGCTCACAGCAACACTACTATGGTCTTTTGCCAAACATTATCTCACCTGACTACAGCGACACAAAAAGAACTCGCTGCAGAAACCCTGGAACCATAGAACACTGTTTATAACACCACACTGGTTGGGAGTTTTTCACCCCATTTGGCCTCCCTCCAGGCTAAACTAGGTCCTGACTAATGGGCCTTTACAGCCAACACAGCTTCACTGTCTGGGCTGCTGAGCGACTGAAAGAGCAGCCCATCAAACACTGAGGCAAGGGGTGGACATGAAGAGTAGGAGCAAAGAGTAAGAGAGAGAGCGAGAGAGAGACCAAGAGAGAGCAGGAGAGAGAGAGCAAGAGAGAGGCCGGGAAGGTTAAAGCAGACAGAGATGAAGAGAGAAAGACCCATGAGGCTTCTTACGTATGGCAGGAGAAATGCACCAACATATATTAGGTGATGTATATATTCTGACACTGGGGACATCCACCGATTAGACTTCGGTATATTTCAATTGTCACTGGTGCAAAGATTTGTTTTCAGAGGACAAATCAATTTTTAAAAGGAGTGACATTTTCAAAATTCCTGCAACCATCAGGGAGAAACCTGCACATCATTAGTCACAACCTTCCACTGCAAAGTATTAATGTTCTAGAAGCTGAAGTTAACTATGTCATTCAACTATTGCATAACACATTTTAGGAAACTATCTCAATCACATCTACGCCCTGAGGACAGGAACTACATTTCATATCTGGGTCCAGGACTGATTATGAATCCCCCCCCCCCCCCCAGAGTAGAAAGAAGAGGAGGGACACTTACTGCCTGGAGGTTGGTCGTCCTGGTCATCTGGGAAGAGGTCGTCCAGAGTCTCTTTACTGGAATCAGAGTCCTTCTCCTCCTGAGAGGAGGTGTGAGGGGAGAGCAGGAGGACAATGATCGAACTGACTCCATGTTTACTAAATTCATAAAAGAGTATTCTTATTTATCTGCTCATGCAGTCCTTCTGTAGCATAGGTCCAGTCAAGCAAATTTCATAAGTGTTACAATATTACAGAAATTGTAATATTGATCGAGGCAGAACAAATGAACCACTAATGGACAACTTCAGACCTTTCTGTTTGACTTATAGAAACTCTGAAGCTCGGTGAATCCCTACTCTGTTACTGAGTGTCTTTGTTTTGGAGGATAAGACGTCTCGTCAAACACACTCTGAAGAAGACCCAGGGACTCACCGATGGGGACAAGTCCTCGTCGTACTTCTTCAGCTGGTTCATGAACTCCAGGTGCTTCTTCTCCTCCTCCAGCTGGGCGACGCTCTGCTCGCTCTTCTGCAGTTTCTGCTGCGTCCCAGCCAGCTCGTCCCTCAGCCACTGGTTCTCCTGGCAGAGCCGGCGCACCTGAGCCCGAAGCTTCTGCTTCTCCGACTCCACCGAGCTCAGGTGGCTCGACAGCGCCATCATCACCTGGACAAAGACGAGGGGAGGGGGGGTTTCTTAACACACCACAGTTGCTTTGGGATTTGGGATGTTTAGGAGTCTGTCTTTAAGGTGGTATAAAGTACACCATGTTTCCCTGCAGTCATGAACATGATCTCATTCGTATGAATTGACTTAGAACCACCTCATAACAATATTCACACTCGTAGCTACAGTCATCCTGGGCTGTAGACCAACATCCTTCTATTAGTGTGATAATTATCTGAAGATATTAAAATATCATAATACCAGTCATTGATACATAAGGGGCTATATTCCTAAACATTTGAATTCTAAGGTGAACCAGTGGCAGATTCAGAGGCAGCATCGTGTGTACATTAGGGTTTAAAAACAGAACTAAACACTGGTGTTACTTTGAGGCACTTTGGGTAAAAGCATCCACCTAACAGCAGATGGTGTGAGGTACTGGGAGGAGTATACTTAGACAAAGTGTTTGAGGCATAGAGAGAATAGGATAATTATGCAGAAAAATATGAATCACACTCTACTTACAATAACTGCGAGCTGCCTAAAGAGCTGAAGGTGGGTATTAGAGTCAGCATGGTGCAGTGTATTGTATATTTAATAGGCAAGGCATGCTGGGAGATGGAGATGAGGGGCTAAAGCATCAGCAGTGACTCATCAGTGACTCATAGGCCGGTGTTTACCAGCTGAGTAACGACAGAGAAACTTTCTCGAAAAGAAAATCTGCATTTAAAAAAAAAAAAAAAAAGTTTTATTTCTTAGCTATAAAATCTTCTCTCTTCATTTCTCCCTCAGGATGATTTGGGATATCCAACCGTGCACCTTTAGAAGAGGAACTTAGTCTTTGGAGTGCATATGCTTTGTGTTCTTAGTCTGTTATGTGTATCACTTCAGAAAGAGTCAACTTAAGGTCAGTCAGCAGCATCTTTTGAAGCCTTTGTGAAGTCTGTCTCAGATATGCCTCCATTCTAACAAATCTATGAACAATAATTAAGTGACGTACAGTCTGTAGTTTGTCCTTTTAGCTCATCACGTGTGGTGCTGCTGACAGGCAAAGAAAAAAACAACAAGAAATGCCATTTCTGTATTTCTTATATATTTAAAAAAAGGAATGTAAAGAATGGCGATGTTAGTAGTCGGCTCGTTTGCACTGTCCACTTTGCTGCTGTAATCCTGTAAATGTCCCCACTGTGGGACTAACAAAGGATTATCTTATTTTATATTTCAGCTGGTGATGATTCACCGAGGACTGACGGTACCTGTGCCTCGCTCAGCCCGAGCTCCAGCATCTCCAGAGACTTGCGGATCATGTGGGACTTCTCCTCCACCAGGACGCCCTCCTCGTCCTGCTTCAGGCAGCGCAGCGTGCCCAGCAGGCCCTCCAGGATGGAGTGGTGCTCCTGCTTCAGGGCGTCCAGCCCCTGGATCACCTGCTTGGTCCGGGAGATGATCTCGTCCTGGGACAGCTTCTCCCCAGGGTCCTCCTCCTCCTTCATGCACACCATGGTGGACATGTCCTCACGCATCCTGCAGATGGAACAACAGGGACAGGAGAGTTAAAGTCAACGTGATGTATTCATCCATTTTAATGAGCCTACGCATACACAGCCAATAAAGCTGATTCTGATTTAACACTGAAATAAAGTCTGTATCAATGTGACCGGAAGGATCTCATAAAAGTACAAACATCAGGCTCTAATGCAGAAGAGCTAATCTCCTCTAAAGAAGTCACATAACTTCTATGCTTGAAAAATGAATTACATTAAAGGCAACAAAAGGTTTAATCAGGATTAATGTTTACTGCTGCAAAAAACGTCAGAGACAGGACCACCACACGACGTGCAGCATATCGACTAAATCATTAATGAGCACGTAATGAAACACGGAACGTTCAGATGTTTCATTCAGAGTTGCATCCGCCTGACCTTTTCTGTTCTTTGTGGCAACCACACAGCCCGATGCATCTGCCTTTAAATCAATACCGTCTTAAACCAAAAGGTTACACCTGAACCAACCGCCCAGGCCCACTGGACAGCTCCTGGTTTTAAGAGTCCAGGTAGTGGAGGTCGAGAGAAGGAAGAAGAAACGTTCGTGCTTTGCCTTTGAGCAAGGCACTGACCGCAGCAGAGAAAAGCTGCACAAACAAAAGGTGAAATGTAATGTCGCATTAGTGACAATCCTGTTTGAAACGAGGCGTCGTCACTTAAGATGCTTTGTGAAAAAGAGTGACTTTAGTGCGGCTGCGATGAAAGGTTGAACGTGAACCAGACGATAAACCTGCTGCTGCCTGCTGACGGTTTGAATCCAGATGTGAGGCTTGTGGGCTGCGTGTGGTTTACAGATAACAACAGATATGCGGTGAGGAAAGCTCTGCAGGGAACAAGTGCAGAACTTAAATAAATGATGGGTGCAATAGCTACCAGGAGTCTTTTGTTTGGTAACCACCACAGTGTTACAGTGTTTTAGTCAGTGTCTATTAGCTTTCCACGTATCTAGTCATTTTTAATCACCAACCAAAAACCTACTCAAATATGACACAATTTTTGAAAAATTTTGACGGGGGGCGACTGTGGCTAAGTGGATAGCAGGGCCGTCTTTCAATCAGAGGGTCGGCGGTTCAATCCGCGGCTCCGGCTCTGCTAGTCTCATGTCGATGTGTCCTTCAGCAAGACACTTAACCCCAAAATTGCTCCCGTAGTTGTGCCTACGGTGTGATAGACTCTGAATTGTAAGTCGCTTTGGATAAAAGCGTCTGCTAAATGACTGTAATGTAATGACGTGTTTACAGTCAGCTTGTAGTTAGAAATCACTGCACAGTAAAGTAGAACCAACCCTAAACCTCCATATTCATGATTACAATATCTCCAATAACAATCAGCGTCTTCGTGCTGCCATAATGCGGTCATAGCACATAATCAGATCCTGAATCCGTCTTGGTGATCAATGAGGCAGACTGACAGGAGTGGCAGGTAAAACAGATATTATTATGCAAATATGAGCCAAAAACACTGCACGTTAATATCGGTTCCTCTCACGTTGACTCCTTCCCACTCAATCCTGACTTTCTTTGCTTTGTATTCACACACACACACACACACACACACACACAGAGACAGAATAATTACAGAAACACTGACTGAAGTTATGTTTCTACTTCACGGCTCCATGAAGAACACAGAAGTGAAACAACTCTCCAGTGTGACTCACTCAGCAGTCTTATCCTTAATGCTGCAACGACACAGTGAGTTGGACCAGCCGGCCCACCTCAGTATAAAAGCTGCTGTGGTACCAGAAGACATTTTGAAAAGATCACATTAACTTCAAACTTGTACTCAACCACATTTGAAAAAGGATTTCCTAATACTGTAGGCAAACTGATAGTATTTGTATTTATCCTGTTGTTGGTGCTTATGTTTCACTTTGTTTGTCAAAATCAACATCAGATCCAAATGACACTTGAATAATTATATTCCCATCAACACCTACAAACAGAAGAAAAACAACTATTCTCATTATAGATTAACCTGCTGGTTGTTTTTCTCAATTAATTGACCCGTCATACGGTCAATAAAACCTCAGAAAGAAGTGAACATTGCAGCCAAATAAACCATCAAATCCTCAAAGTGAAGAAGCTGGAACACAGGTGTGTTTTCCATTTTAGCTTGAAGAACGATTAATTGAATTTACAATACTTATACTATAAAATAGTTTACAGTAATTCCACATGAGATGAGATACAACTAGTCATACCTGTCTGAGTGGAAATTTCACTAGCAACCACCCAAACACTGACATGTTTCCATGTAAGCAGGTAACCAACCATCGTTTGGAGTTTCTACAGGTGTTGCAGAGAACAGACGGGCTGCTTCAGCATAATAACGTACCTGTGGACAGTAATCCAACAAGTAATTAGGAAAATGCACATAATGTCAGTTAACACTAGTGTTTCCATCACATCCATTCAGCTAAAAGTCTGTCGCTGCTATATTTAAAGATGCAAGTATCAAAATAAAAGTTAGAATACTTGTCACACCGGATCCTTTCAAAGGGCCATGCATTGAGCCTGGTTATAAACCCCGTTTAATTCTTCAACAACACAGAGCAAGGTCGACTTTAAACCACTGGAAACACCCAAAACTGCAAAGAACGAGACAACTACCACTGCAGGCAGAGTAATACAGAAGTGAAAGTGACAGCACAAGCCTTTTATTTTGGGCATCAGATGAGTCTCAGAGCACACAGCACCACAGGGAAGAAAGATGTTAACTTTTGAAATGCAAATATCTGGCTTGAAGCGGAGCGCCCGGGGGACCCTGCAGCTCTTCATGTGAGCAGGTTATGGCAGAGATGTTAGTCTATTGGGAGGCTGGTGGTGGGAGTGGGGGGGGG